TGAAATAAAAGACTGGGGATGTGGATGTGTGTGGGACAGACACAAACACCACAACACACACACACAACAGACATACAGAATCACTGGAAGTGCATGTTCTAGGTTCATAATTCAACCAAAATTTATTGGTGATTAAAGAAATTGAGCTTTGCTTCCATCTCTGATTTTGCCTTGACTTTCAGTCCTCAGCTTCTTTCTCCTTTTCTCCCCGCCCACTTTTTAGTGGCCTTTGTTCTTCGTTCCTGAGCCATCTGGTTGCAAAGTATGGTAGGAGCACAGTGCAGCAGGCACATGAAAAAGCAGTACAAAAAAAAAAAATAGTAGGAGTGAAAACAAAAGACATGAAGATCCTGAATGTTTAATTTCTCTTTTCAGATTGAAATATCACTGCTCCTAGTTCTGATGCAAGATTGAAAAGAGTGCACTGGGTCTTTGAATGGCAGATTGACATGGAAAAAGAGGAAAGCAAGACCCAGGACACCCTGGGGTCAAGGCTGGGCTCAGGTATGCCTGGACAAGCCAGGAAAGTTGTCTCTGGGCTTGGACCACGTATCAGAGGAGCTATTTGAGGAACCACATCAGCACATCTGCTTCTACAAGCCTCCAGGCTGTGATGTTCAGCCCTTGCACCATGAAACTTTTTTTTCCAGAAGCCAAAGCTTTGAGCATCTCCTCCCATATAGAGAGTGTATATGTTTATGTCCATGTCTTCCGCCATGTGAATGCATGCAACCACCACCTCAAATATCATAAATCCTCTCTCTCCCCCTTTCTGTCTGCCTGTTTATCTACAATCTGTCTATTTAAATTCTTTTTAAACAAGAAGGGAATATCTTTATGCCTGTTTGTAGGGATATTCTACATCCATCTGTTATTTACATCATTCGTTTTCCTGAGGTGTCTCCAACAAATCCTGGCTGGATGCACTGTATGTGTTATTAATAAAACAGCTGTAAAAATATTAACTGTACGGCCTAATTGTCAGCCCTGATTGGGAGCCAAGTTTATCCCCGGACGGATGCGGAGACTCAGGATTTGGGCTTCCATCCAGATCTGACCCTTGCAGCTCACTTTACATTTGATTCTTTGACCATTTAAGCTGTTCTGGCTTCTTTTTTCTCCCAGGGATCTGTGCACATCCGGCCTCCTGGCCTCCTGGCTCCTTCAGGTGGCGCTGGTCCAGCTTCCTGAATGTTCATGGCCAGGCCTCTCTCCTCCTCCCCCAACTTTTGTTAAACTTAACAGCCATATGCTATAGAATCACCTTCCAGTAATTTAAAAGATGAGTAGAAATATTGTCAGCATTGCCTCTCCCTGCACACTAGTAGGAAATAGCATTTGGAGAGTCTGCATTGGAAAACACATCTCTATTAAAAGCATTGGGTTAGGATACCAGAAAACCCAGAGTGATTGGCTGCAAAGTGATACTTCCTTAGTATCTGGAATCAGATCAATCTTTCAGCCAAACCTTCTGGATAGGGAAGATAAATGAAGAGGTGATAATACATTTTATTTTTAATGAAGTGCTCAAAATAAATCAAATGAGGGCAGAAGTTGGAAAATGAGGCACTTTTTTTTACTGTGCCCTCCTTGGGATAGTTGGATTAGCCCTGATTGGCTTACACCTAAGTGATGCTGAAGTGTTTACTGCGGGGCAAGATTGGGAGGAAAGACACTGCATAGAAAAAAACTTGATTCTGCCAGTATCCAGAAAGCCTGGGCATCATCTGCATCTAATTCTTAGGTGATGGGATAGAAGAAACTCCTTAGGTAGGGTGGTATGATGGTTTGCTTCATTGCATATGAAATACATTAACTATCTGCCAGTATTTCATAGGCCAAAAGATTAATGACACCATTCAAACTCATAGTCTCAGTAACATGTAACATGGCTGTGATTAGCTGTCAAAAAGTTGGATAAGATTTGATGCTTTATGGGTTTTTTTTTTCTTTTTTCTATTGGGACTTTATGATTGCAATACTCCACTCCAGTGAAGTGGTTCGGAAATTTTATAGGAATGGCCTTTGATTTTGTTATTTTTCTAGAAAGATTCCAAGCAGGCTTTCCTGCCATGTAAGATTATGTCTTATATTCTCTTAACCTCACATTTTCCAGGCCATCCCTGCAAATGTTTCCAAAAAGACTGCTTGTGCCGGGGTCACCATTCCAATTCTCATAACCATTAGCATTGACAATCTGTTAGGACACTCATGGTTTGTTTGACTTTCATGTTTTTAAATAATCACTTGTAAGAGGAATCCATATTTTCGTCTCCAACAGAGGTGATGAAAATTTTAAAAAAGAAATCAAAAACTTCAAATTACCTTTCCTTGAAAGAGACTGCATCAGGATGTTAATGAAATCATCAAATATGCTACTGGAGAGTTGACCTCAATAGAAAATTTAACACGCCACTATCCTGCTTGAAAAATACAGGTTTTATTTACACATGGTCAATTGCCTTCCAAAAATGTCTGCATTATAAAATGTTTTTGTCTAACAATTGGACTGGATTAAAATGACTTTGTGGGGACAAACTGTTTTTAGCCTTGAAAGAACTAGTAATTGTTAGACGTTTCAATGGAAGCTACCTCCCTTTTCCCCCTTTGTTTACCATACAGTTACCCGAGTTTAAATGTGTTGGTGTTTCCTGACCCATATCTTATGAATGTATGACAAATTAAATTTCTTTTCAATGAAGCAAAAGGAAAATATTTAATGACAACCTTAACTCTCATGAGAGCAAGAAGCTGCTTTATCTACTATATGTGTCTCCTATAGTGCCTAACAGACAGCTGTATACCAGTAGGTCTCAATAATTGTTGACTAATGACCAAGTTAATCAAATTCTCTGCTTTGCATAAGAGGGAGGTCTAAGTGTCTTCTGCATTTGGTGTCTATATTACACTCTTAAATGGTAAAAAGACTTTAGCAATTCTTTATTTTATTTAGATGTTAAACAGTGTTTGCTGAGTATTTTCTTTTTTTTTTTTTTTGAGACGGAGTTTCGCTCTTGTTACCCAGGCTGGAGTGCAATGCCGCGATCTCGGCTCACCTCAACCTCCGCCTCCTGGGTTCAGGCAATTCTCCTGCCTCAGCCTCCCGAGTAGCTGGGATTACAGGCACGCGCCACCACGCCCGGCTAATTTTTTGTATTATTAGTAGAGATGGGGTTTCACCATGTTGACCAGGATGGTCTCGATCTCTTGACCTCGTGATCCACCCGCCTCGGCCTCCCAAAGTGCTGGGATTACAGGCTTGAGCCACCGCGCTCGGCGCTGCTGAGTATTTTCTATGATGCTTAGCACAGTGGTAGGCACCAGGATGGATTAATAATTAAACATGAGACCTGCCTCCTGCCAATAAAAATCATATAATTTGTTTGTAGAGCCAGGATATCACATAGTAGAGGCATTGCAAAAGCTGGAGTAGAATGGTAGTAACTGCATATAGGCAGATAAGGCATTCAATTTCAGGAAAAAAGTGCTGTGGAATTAGTTACAAGACAAAATTTCACATGAAAGGCAATAGAGGAGCTGGACCATAGAGAAAGCAGAAAATGGGGGAAAAATAAGCAGTTTAAGATTGAAGACTTGGTAGACCCAACATATACATTGCTGGACTTCTTGTCCTAAAGCCTAAATAACAATAACAGATGGAGACTAACTGGTGAGCTCAAAGTTTGGTGATAATTCAAGATTTTCTAATAATAATGTTTATGATGTGAAAAAGTCTGCACTCAAGTGTCTGGTATACATTAATATGTTATTGAATATGTTTAAGACAGAACAAACTTTTTGTCTTTGTTAATGTCCATTAAAATGTGGCATTCCAAGAAGGTGAGAAGTTAATTTTTGGTGATGGCTTCTGGAAGTAGATGGAATAAATAGTCCTCAGGGTGTTTGATTACCGGAGAGAAGGCTACTGAGGGAATAAGTTTAACTGCATTACTCTGGAAATCTCAAGTGAAAAAACTTTAAAAATGAGAAATTCAGGAAATACTATTTCAAACAAAACACTGACTTGCCATTACTTTTGCCTGGCAGAGAAGTGGAATAATTTATCTCAAAGGAGATAGCATTTTGTTGAGGAAAATATTCTGATGGACTTTTTTTTTCAATAAATGATACCCCACCTATCTTAAAAGATAGGATAAAAAGAGAGAGAGAAAACTAAGCTGCACTACATACGAAATTAATTGGAATTTGGGAACTGGTCACTGATAGCTCATTGGTGATTGGAGAGGGCTGAGCAATTTGGCAAGAGGCTGGCAAGAAGCCTAGGAAGAAAAGACAGCCATGCAGACATCCAGGTGGAGTCTATAGCTGAGTTACTTTTAAGAGTACTGGTGATTAATATTCAGTTTTCAGCATTTCCTATTCTCAGCTGTGCTGAAACCATTCACTTCTACTTTTAAAGCTTTGGTTAAGATCTGCCCAGAGATGTGTTGGGTGTTGGGAGATAGCGGAGCAGTACTTAGCCTGGTTCAAAGCAGTACAGAAAGAGGATGCTGGTTATGGAGCCAGGACAGCTAATTTAGGGCAGGTTGCCCAATGACTGACCCTGGAGAACATCAGCCTCCCCTTGGAAATCCTCAAAGGTTTCAGGAAGAGTGTGGAGGACATGGATAGAGGCTTGAGCCATTTCATTTGGATAGCAAAGAAAAGGGAAATATCAGGCTCCTGATTACTTTTAGCCATGTTGAGACAGATGGATGAACAGAACAATGACAACATATCTATCCATCCGTCCACCTACTCATCCATCCATCCATCCATCCATAGGTCCATTGATCCAATCATTCATCATTAAGTAATAGGAGCCTACTGTATGTGAATCACTACATTATAAGAGACACAGTTTCTTCTGTGCAGATTCTAAGAATTAAGGTATACACAAAGCAGATTAAAGAAATAAAACCCAAAGCTTCCAGGATGAGATTGACTTTATATGGGTCTTGGTGAATAACATACATTTGAATAAGTAAAAAGGAGGGATTGCAACATGGATACCCTGGGAAGTCACTCTCCCCAGGCTCTGTCTAAATGGCATAGGGGAGCATAGGGCTGCATCCCAGGTTGTGCAGTTCTTTGCCACAAGTTAGAGATGAAGCTGGGCCTGGTGTCTGCCTGCATTTTCCTACAGCTTCTGAGTCTTGTGGACAATGACAGAGGGGACAAATCATGCAGGAAATGTGTCTTGTATAAAATAAAACTTTAAAAGAAAGAATTAAAGGAAGAATAACAGAGCAACTCTTTTTATTTAGATACTATTTTGAAATTTATCATGCAATTTCATATAAAATATCTATCATTACAACTACTCATTATTATTCCCACCTCTCAGAAGAAAAAAACTGAAGTTCATAGTTTGAGTGACTTGTTCCAAAAACATAAAATTAGACCATGTGAGTAACTCAATAATCGGAGTAATGGTTATTATTAGTTTTCTCTCAGATACAAACATATTCTTTGACTTGCTCATCATTTTAATTAAAAGTACAGACTGGGCACAGTGGCTCACCCCTGTAATCCCAGCACTTTGGGAGGCCGAGGTGGGTGGATCACAAGGCCAAGAGATTGAGACCATCCTGGCCAACGTGGTGAAACTCCATCTCTACTAAAAATACAAAAATTAGCTGGGTATGGTGGCATGCACCTGTAGTCCCAGCTATTTGGGAGGCTGAGGCTGGAGAATCGCTTGAATCTGAGAGGTGGAGGTTGCAATGAGCCGAGATTGGGCCACTTGTACTCCAGCCTGAACAACAGAGCAAGACTCCATCTCCAAAAAAGAAAAAAAACTACAGGACCTATAAACCAATAAAAGATAGAAATGAGGAAAGATTAGTGATGAAATCATTCATTCTTCATCTGAATAGCCAATTCCCCATTTATATGATACAATTCTCAAAAATGTTGTAGTCATGTCATTTTTCTGGGATGAGAAATTACTTTGGAAAGTATTTGGGTTTTGCCAAATGCATCTGTTGCATACCACCTGTGCTTATTCCTATCCTAAAGTTATGAGCAGCAATAAAGAAATACAAACTATAGTCTCTGCCACAAAGAAGCTTCTCATCTTCTATGTAGAACTTTTCCCCTTTCATGAAAGAACTGTAATAACTTTGGCTTTTACCTAAGACCTCAAACATGGGAACATTTTATCAAGTTAAAATAAGCAATTTCTAACATTACATTAATGACAAGAGGATGAGTTATCAAGAAAAAAGTAGGCATGTTCTTTCCCTACTCCCATTCTGGGTAGAAGTTAGCATTGTATCTCCAAATGTGCAAGTTGCCCTTACTCCCCTGTCTGTAGGGGAAATACTTTATCCTCCTTATCCTACTCTCCTTAGAGACCTTGAGTCATTAAGTTGGGTAAGGAGAGACACAGCTTTGACGACTTGGAGATGAAGATGTAGGAACAACTGGAACCACAGGAAAGACGGATTCCTTAGAATTCCTCCAGCACAGAGGAGCCATAGGCTTTCCAGCAATGGCACATTCCTCTCCAGTGAGGAACTGCAGTGGGGTGCTGGGAGGGATACACTGGACACATGCATCACACTGGCCTCAAAGGCCACAAGTGACCACAGCCAGTTTTGCTGGCTGCTGAGAAGGACCCCTCTGCAGCCTCCTGGAGCAGCTGCCTGAGTGTTGCTGGAATACCAGCACTTGACTAAAGGGACGACGGAAATAATGGTGACTCTAAGGAGGGAACTGTCCCTCAATTTTTCTCACAGCACACATACAAAATCAGTATCTTTGTAAAGGGCTAATGAAATGTTTCACCAGTCAGATATGTGGGTGCTCAGGGCAAATTTAATTTCATCAAGACTAGAAACTCCACATGTGCCATTTCTTGCCTTTAACTGTTGTGAGGTAGAAGTTGCCCATATTGATAGGCGGCTGAATCTCATGAATCACAGATTTCATATTTGGGGATTTGCCTACTTGCTCAGATTAATTTCTTATCCCAAAATCGATACTGGGGGCATGTTTGCAATTACTCATGTACATGGTCAGATCAGTGAAAACTTTGAGTTCTCACACTCACATTTCTAGCTGGATCGAATAAGATGACACTCCCACTTCTTGTTTCAGCTTTCTTATTGTAAACATGTGTCCTTTACATGGTCTATTTAGTACCATATTTTTTACATTTTTCTGCTTCTTGTTGATTATTTTGCTGTTTAAAATGGCTCCCAAACATACTGCTGAAGTGCTGTGTAGTGTTCCTACCTGCAAGAAGGCTGGTATGTACCTAATGGAGAAAATACATGTTAGATAAGCATCATTTAGGAATGAGTTATAATGCTATCAGCTATGTGTTCAATATTAATGAATCAACAACATATATTAAATAAGGTGTCTTTAAACAGAAACACACACGAAACAAGGTTATGTATTAACTGGCTGACAAAGGTGTTGTAAACAGAAGCTTGCAGGAACCTAACCCTCTATTTCCCCTAAGAGCAATCACTTGGCATTTGCTAATTCAGTGTTTGTGGACTTCATAAGTATCATGAATAATAAGAATCTACTATATTTATATATTCTTTGACTCAACCTATTATGTGCAAAACATTCTACTAAGCATCAAAATGAAAATTGGCAATAAATTCTGCAATTTCTGCCAGATCCTACTAACATGCTGCAACCATACCACCCCAGAACAAAATTCAACACAGGTTCTCTCTCACTCAGGAAGTCTTTTGGGCCTCATGATTATTTCTGGAAGTAAAGGAAATAGTTATAAGGCAATGTCATTTATACAAAAGCTCCTAACAAGAACCCTGAGGACAGCTCTGGGGATGTTTGTAGTGTGGCTTCAGTGTATTTGTGGTCAGTGCTTCCTGTTATAAACACAGGACTCTGGCTTTCCAGGGGACTTTGTAACCATCTGATCCTGGATGAGACTTGGCATGTTGCATCCCAGCACAAGATTTTATGTAAACAGGTTGTAAAATAATCAGCTTGACCCTTTCCAAATATAGGCAATGTTAACAAACAAATGAAGTGCACACAACCTATGCCTAGGAGAATGTTGGTTTTGCACCTGTATAAATTGAAAACTGACAAGTTTACAAAGTGAATGTGGCTAATGATGACTAATACTTTATTTATAAGGGTGGAGTAAAAAAAATCAGCCATTTGCTCTGGGGCCAACTTTAAATTCAGGAGCATTTTAAATCCAAATTTAATATTTTGTCACAGTTTTGTAATTATGTTATCAAAGAAGCAATCGAAATCCTCAGCTGAGCCTCATGGGTAATTGGGTTGAGCTCTTCATATTTCCAAGACTTGGTAGCAAAATTATAGCTAAACAGTGAGGAAGTAGTCTAGAAGGTAAGCACCAGAAGGATGAGAATTTTTAGCTGTATTGCTCATCACTACGTCCCTGGAGCCTAGAACGGAGCTTGGCATAGGGGAGGTACTCCATAAATACTTGTTAAACTAGGTCCATTCAACACTTTAATATGTTGTGATATAACTAGTGCTAATGTGTCTGGATATAGGGCATCATGTATCTTTGTCCCACTTCTTGTACCTATGTTATATCCCTCCCCAGCCCAATCTTTCCCAATCTCCACCCTTGCCTCTAAGCAGTCAGTGCTTTCAACCCCAGAAGAAACCAATGGAAGAAGCAGAAGCTCCACTGCTGTGCAGAAAGTCACCAAGCACCTGTTCAGTCCCATGACTCAGGCCTCTACTCTCAGCGGTCCTGCTCCTGATCACTTCCAGAGGAGAGGTCATTATTTCAGAGCAACCACACCTCTACCATGTAGAGGACTGATCATTTATTTACAGACAATTGGTAGTATTTTGCATAAGGATCTTGGCTTGTTTTAGCAAGGATGTCTTTGAGGTGATGGAGTTGTTAATTTTGTGGCTGCTAATGATATTTTTTAAATTCATAAATTTTTCTTATTTATATTTACCCACCCAGAAGCCAAATTTCTCTCCAGAATTTTTGGGAGGCATTAGGCAGAGTATTTGGGATTAGAACTCATGTTGTTCTATGCAGTTTTTCTCCAACCCCTATTTCAAGGATTCCTCCTTATAAATGAGTTTGTCTAAGTCTCTGTTTCTTGTCATACATTTTTGTGAATTGTGTCTCTCCCAAATTCCCATGTTAAAGCCCTAACCCCTAATGTGACTGTATTTGGAGATAATCCTTTAGGAGGTAACTGAAATTAAGTGAGGTCATAAAGGTAGAACCCCAATCCCACAGGGCTGGTGCCTTGTAAGAAGAGGAATGAACATCAGAGCTCTCTCTTTCTGCAATGTGAAGAGAGGAATGAACATTAGAGCTCTCTCTTTTTGCAGTGTGAAGACACAGCAAGAAGGCAACTCTCTACAAGCTAAGAAGAGAACCCTCACCAGAAATCAAGTTGACTGGCACTTGTACTTCTCCACCTCCAGAATTGTGAGAAATAAATTTCTGTTAAGTTACCCAGTCTGTGGAATTTTGTTATGGCAAACCCAGCTGATTTAAAACAAAAGGATTTTCTACTTTCTATGTAATTCAATAAGTTTACAGATTATCACAGCATTAAAAGTTACAACCTATATGTCCTAAGAGCATTAAAGCACACACAAGTCCTCTCATCTGCCATAAGATCTTATCTGTAGACCTCTCACACTCACCTTCAATTACAAAACCTCCAATTGTTGCAACGTTCTCACCCAGACAAGACCTTGCATATGCTCATTGGCAAGTTTTCTTGGCTGCAGCATGGGGCCTTGCTCTTGATTTCTCCTTGCCATTCTCTAGCAATCTTCACAATGCATCCTCCAGAATTCACAGCCTGCAGTTGTCTCCTTCATGTTTCCTTACAGATTCCAATGCAGTAGAAGCACTAGCATCTTTGAGGGTTCAAATGGCAGGCACCATGTTCTCTGGAATTCTCAGTCCACCTAATCACACCTCATCTTACTTTATCTCCTTAATCACCTTCCATCCCACAGGACTCAGACATGGATTCATACTGAATTGGGCCAGAGGCAGATACAAATCTGAGTCACAGCATTTATGCTTTCTCAACAAGAAAACCTTATCTCTCCAAGAGCCAGACTATTTTTCTGATTCTGTCTTCCATTAGGTTAAGTTCTCTCTTAAGAGTTTCCTCATTTCTCCCTGCGACATTTAGTTTCATGTCTGGAGGTTACCAAATGTTCAAATGATATATTGTTATGACCTTAGTTCATGCCTTTGATTCACACACACACAATATGTTTTAATATATATAATCGTTTTTATGATTATAAAGGACTATTCAATTCGTGTGGCAAAGTTGTAAAACAGAAAAAATATAAAGAAAACCTAAAAAATTAGAACCCTATCTCTGTTCTCCAATATTATATAATTTTATCATTACCTATTTCAGTATGTGTCTCTACAATGTAATAAGGATCACTTGAGGTCAGGAGTTCAAGACCAGCCTGGCCAACATGGTGAAACCCCATCTCTACAAAAAATACAAAAATTAGCCAGATGCGGTGGTGCACCTGTAGGCCCAGGTATTCCGGAGGCTGAGGCAGGAGGATTGCTTGAACCCAGGAGGGAGAGGTTGCAGTCAGCTGAAATTGCACCACTGCACTCCAATCTGGGCAATGGAGCAAGACTCTGCCCCCTCCCCCCAAAATTAACCAAATTGTAATTGTATTATTCAATATCCAGTTAGTGTTTAAATATCGTCAATTGTTTTGTAATCTTTTACAGTATGTTTGCTTGAATCGAGATCCTAATAATGTTCTTAGGTTATAATTGGTTGTATTTCTCCAAGTCTTTCTTAATTTATAAGCTTTTGTATGCATTAGTAGTTCTCCCTTACAATGTATTTGTTGAAGAAACCAGATTATTTGTCTGTCATAGTTTCCCAAAACTTGGATTTTGATAAATTAAGTTTTCAGCATATCATTTAACACATTCTGCTGTCCCCTGTATTTCCTGTAAATTTGCTGTTTGACCTAATAATCTGTGGTCTGCAGCCCCCAATTTATGAATATAATTCAGGGACACACTTTGGGGAAAAAATGACATTTATTTTTACTAACTTCCAACTAAAATTTAGTATGCTCTTCAATTAAAACATTAAGCAACAAACAACAGTAATTTTAATAGTATATCTGACTTTGCTATCAGTAGAAATTATAGCTATTTTCATGTCATATTCCAGCTGTGGCAAGATATACCCAAATATTGTTTCATCTTACCATGACTTCAAAATTATTGCAGCTTTTGGGCCTGCCTTTAGATCTTATTATTGAATGTGTTGGTGAAGAAGCCCCAACATAGTGTGTGTGTGTGTGTGTGTGTGTGTGTATCATGTACATAAGTATGTACACACATACACACACATATTTTTTTCTATTATTTGAGTAACTGTATTTAACATAATCGAGTTTAGTTACTGACATGGTTTGACTCTGTGTTCCCACACCCAAATCTCATCTCAAATTGTAATCCCCATAATTCCCAGGTGTCGAGGGAGGGACCTGGTAGGAGGTGATTGGATCATGTGGGCAGTTTCCCCCATGGTGTTCTCATGATTTGAGTGAGTTCACATGAGATCTGATGGTTTTACAGTGTTTGGTAGTTCCTCCCTCTCTCTCTTTCTTTCTTGCTACCTTGTGAAGAAGGTACTTGCTTCTGCTTCAACTTCTGTCATGATCGTAAGTTTCCTGAGGCCTCCCCAGTCAGACAGAACTGTGAGTCAGTGAAACCTCCTCCCTTTATAAATTACCCAGTTTCAGGTATTCCTTTCAGCAGTGTAAAACTAGATTAATACACTTATCAACTTTTGTATTTTAATTTATGTCTTTTAATTATTTTTATCAAAAGGAGTTTAATTGGACTCACTAGCCTGCCCAAGCCATTTGGGGCACAAAAGAGTGAAAAATCCCTGAGTCTTGATCCTATGGGAGTTCTAATTTTTGTCTAAAACACTTTATAGGAAGTATTGTGCAGCAATATTGTGGAGATGCATATAATGTCTTGTTTCTCTTTTTTTTTTTGTAATATTAGTAAGCACTGATGATCATTGCCCAATACATTAATGGTTACAAAATGATGATAATGTAATTTTATATATAGTTTAAATGCTTCCTTAAAAGTAAACCTTCTAATCAACTATCTGATGACTTTGAGATGAATTTCAGATGGAAAGCAAAATAAATGCTTGATCCTTCCCTTTCACTTTTCCTTTTTCAAAACAATGAGTTGACTCCATAGAATCCTCCAAAGTGGGAGGATTTCTT